TGTTGGCCAGGATGGTCTCGATCTTCTGACCTCGTGATCTGCCCACCTCGGCCTCCCAAAGTGCTGGGATTACAGGCCTGAGCCACCGCGCCCGGTTGAACCTTTTTCTTAAACTTTTACATAGAAGATTGGAATTATATATATATCATAGCATGAAATATAGCCTGAGAGAGTATATATAAAACTTTTTAAAATAGAACATATTTGATCATGGTGGATGGTACATCTCGAGTTCCAAAAATTCTCACAGGCTGGGGGTAGTGGCTCACACCTGTAGTTCCAGGACTTTGGGAGGCCAAGGCAGGAGGATTGCTTGAGCCCAGGAGTTTGAGACTAGCTTGGGCAATATAATGAGACCCTATTGCTTCTCAGCCTTTTGGCTAAGAAGAAGTATAGTGAGACCCTGTTTCTACAAAAAAATTTAAAAACTGAGGTGAGCAGAGAACTTGAGGCCAGGAGTTTGAGACTGGCCTGGCCAACATGCCAAAACCCCATCTCTACTAAAAATACAAAAATTAGCTGGACATGGTGGTACGTGCCTGTAGTTCCAACTACTCAGGAGGCTGAGGCAGGAGAATTGCTAATCTGGAGGCACCTGTAGTTCCAGCTAATCAGGAGGCAGAGGTTGCAGTGAGACGAGATCCCGCCACTGTACTCTAGCCTGGGTGACAGAGCCAGACTTTGTCTCAAAATAAGTAAATAAATAAAAATTAAAAATAATAAATTAGCCAGGCATGGTGGCACAACCCGTGGTCCCAGCTACTTGTGGGGGTGAAGTGGGTGAGTCATTTGAGCCCGGGAGGTCGAGGTTGTGGTGACCTGTGATTATGCCACTGCACTCCAGTCTGAGTAACAGAGTGAGACCCTGTCTAAAAAAAGGAAAAGAAAACCTCACAGTACCTTTACCAGAAAAAATGGGTCTTGTTCAAATTAGCTGGAAGTTTTAATTAAAAACACTAAAATCACTAATTGTTCAGCCAACTTATTAAATAATTGACTTGAATATAAAATATGCACATATACACCATATTTATAGTAGATGTGAACTTAGTTTCTCAAGTTGGTACATGATGAAGCACATACAATTGTTGTCCATATTCTCTACCAAACAAAACAAAACAAAACAAAACAAAACAAAACATTCCCACACACATTAAAAAGCCATAATTGAAGGAAGGAGTCAAATGCATTTCAAATCCTGGAGAAATAAACGGCTTGGAAATCACTTTAAAGTTGCTTATAAATAGGCCGGGTGCGGTGACTCATGCCTGTAATCCCAGCACTTTGGGAGGCTGAGGCGGGCAGATCACCTGAGGTCAGGAGTTTGAGACCAGCGTGACAAACATGAGAAACCCCATCTCTATTAAAAATACAAAAAATTAGCCGGGTGTGGTGGCGCATCCCAGCTACTCGAGAGGCTGAGGCAGGAGAATGACTTGAACCCCGGAGGCAGAGGTTGTGGTGAGCCGAGATCACACCATTGCACTCCAGCCTGGGCAACAAGAGTGAAACTCTGTCTCAAAAAAAAAAGATAAAAAGTTGCTTATAAATATTCTTTTCAATGGCCATTTTAAGTGTTGGATTTTTTGGATTTTAGAAAAAAATGGAACAAATGTTTCAAATTTCAGTTTATATTTTAGATCCGCATTGTCATTGTCATTTTTTTTTTTTTTCATGAGACGGAGTTTTGCTCTTGTTGCCCAGGCTGGAGTGCAGTGGTGCAATCTTGGCTTACGGCAACCTCTGCCTCCTGGGTTCAAGCTATTCTCCTGCCTGAGCCTCCTGAGTAGCTGGGATTACAGGCATGCGCCACCACACCCGGCTAATTTTTTGTGTTTTTAGTAGAGACGGAGTTTCTCCGTGTTGGTCAGGCTGACCTTGAACTCGTGACCTCAGGTGATCCACCCGCCTTGGCCTCCCAAAGTGCTGGGATTACAGGCATGAGCCACCAAGCCTGGCCGCCATTGTCTTCTTTTTTTTTTTTTTGAGACAGAGTCTTGCTCTGTTGCCCAGGCTGGAGTACAGTGGTGAGGTCTCAGCTCACTGCAACCTCTGCCTTCCCGGTTCAAGTGAGTCTCCTGCCTCAGCCTCCTGAGTAGCTGGGACTATAGGCACACACCACCACGCCCGGCTAATTTTTATATTTTTATTAGAGATGGGGTTTTGCCATATTGGACAGGCTGGTCTTGAACTCTTGACCTCAGGTGATCCACCTGCCTCGGCTTCCCAAAGTGCTGGGATTACAGGCGTGAGCCACTGTGCCCGGCCAGCATTGTCATTTTCAGTTTTACTTAACATATACATTTCACAGAAGCACAGAAATAAGAAAACTAGATATGAACTCAAAATAGATTATCTTTTTCAAAAGATATACGTTTTCTTTTATCTTCAAACATAGAGAAAATCTTAGAGAAGATATTCAAGATAGTTGCCAACAACATCACTGAAACCAATTTTGAATTTTTATGTCAAAAACTAAACCTGGCAAACTCAGAAACTGATATGCCTACAAAGAGGTATGTATAAATGACAGCTTTTAGTACAAATTTATTCTCATTCTGATGTATATCATGTTGATATTGAATGGTTTTGAAACATTCATATTAACACAATCTTTACTTTGCTATAGAAAGCTGATTTTAGTATTACATGTTTGTGATCCATGTTGGAAGGCTATATAACATAATGAAGAACAAGGGCTATGAGGACAGACTGTTTGACTTTTACTCACAACTGGTTTTGTGACCTTGGGCAAGTCCTTTAACTTCTTGATGACTTGGTTTCTTCACTGGTAAAATGGATATACTCATGTAAGAGAATTGTCATGAGAATCAAGTGAGATCAAGCTATAAAGCATATAGTAACGGGGCGTGGTGGCTCACGCCTGTAATCCCAGCACTTTGGGACGCTGAGGCAGGCGGGTCATGAGGTCAGGAGATCAAGACCATCCTGGCTAACAAGACCAAGCAGTCCCAGCTACTTGGGAGGCTGAGGCAGAAGAATGGCATGAACCCGGGAGGCGCCACTACACTCCAGCCTGGGATTCAGTGAGACTCCATCTCAAAAAAAAAAAAAAAAAAAAAGGCATAGAGTATAGTTGCAGTAATATACTGGTTTATTAGAAATAACCCACAATTATGATTTTGAGGTCTTGAGAACTGAATGTAAATTGAATTGTTGATTTTCTATAAGGGAACAAGGGATGGGCTGGAGCTAACATTCACTTTCTATGTCCCCAGCTCCATGCTATTTTTTTTTTTTTTTTGAGACGGAATCTCGCTCTGTCGCCCAGGCTGGAGTGCAGTGGCGTGATCTCTGCTCACTGCAAGCTCCGCCCCCTGGGTTCACGCCATGCTTCTGCCTCAGCCTCCCATGTAGCTGGGACTACAGGCGCCCGTCACCATGCCCGGCTAATTTTGTTTTGTATTTTTAGTAGAGACGGGGTTTCACCGTGTTAGCCAGGATGGTCTCGATCTGCTGACCTCGTGACCCGCCCGTCTCGGCCTCCCAAAGTGCTGGGATTACAGGCGTGAGCCATGGTGCCCGGCCCATGCTAAATTTTTATAGAGATTCTCTTCACCAATTAATTTCCTCTTCATTTTGGTAAAATTGTTTTGAAAACCTAGATATACAATATTACAGGAGTTTAAAGCAATGTTCTTAATTGACATTTCAAATAATTATTAGTAATTTTAATATATTAAACATTAATACATATTTAACTATTATATTATTAATAATGTTTTTCAGCACTGTTTCATTAAGTGAGAGAGCCCACCAAGCACTTGTTATATGGAAAACACAGAGTAACAAATTATCACTAACTGCTGCTGCTTTAAGAGATCAACTAATTCGAGCACTAACTATGATAGGAGCATATGAAATTATGGACAAAATAACAGCTTTAAATCTTTTTACACGTGCAATTAAATTCTAACCAGTGGATCAATAACCAGTGGATCAATAATAAAAACTGAAAACTTTTGATGCACTTATAATTGAAACTGTGTTTTTGAACCATTTCACTTCACTTTATCATACAAGAGAATTACATCTCTTTTCTTGCATTCTTAAGAGATGATGACAACTTATAACTACCACTCTAATGTTATCATAATAAAATATTACAGACACTGTGTTGTGTGTTTGCTCTGTTGTCTTACTACAGTGATGTTGAATTTGAAAATAATTGCTTTTTTTTTTTTCCTGAGATGAAGTTTTGCTCTTGTTGGCCAGGCTGAAGTGCAGTGGCGTGAATTTGAAAATAATTCCTTTTATTTTTGAGATGGAGTTTTTGCTCTTGTTGCCCAGGCTGGAGTGCAGTGGTGTGATCTCGGCTCACTGCAACCTCTGCCTCCTGTGTTCAAGTGATTCTCCTGCCTCAGCCTCCCGAGTAGCTGGGTCTACAGGTGCCCACCACCACGCTGGGCTAATTTTTGTATTTTTAGTAGAGACGGGATTTCACCATGTTGGGCAGGAGAGTCTCCATCTCCTGACCCTGTGATCTACCTGCCTGGGCCTCCCAAAGTGCTGAGATTACAGGCGTGAGCCACCATGCCCAGCCTGAAAATAATTATGTTAAAATTTTTCTGTTATATAGTGCTTTTATACAACCCACGATTTATAGGTAGCAACATTACTAGTGATTTTCACTGGAGTTAGAAAGCAGAACAGTTTCTTTTTAGATGCTGGCTTAAAAACAGAAATAAATATACCATTCCTACTTTTTCTTCTTTAGGAAGGGGATAGCTTTGTTAAACACAAACTAGGGCCAGGGCCAGTAATCCTTTAGTTGAGTGTCCAGACAGGATTGACAGAGTGGCCATCTGTTGTCTTGTCTGTCATGTGAGCCTCTCCCCTTCTTCCGCTATCAGAAAACCTCTTTCATAGGGGGAATCCATCGCACTTATTTCAATGTGGAGCTGACCTTGTCGTGTAAATCTCTTCCCCGACTCCAGCACTAACATCAATGTCTTCTACTCATGTAACCACAATGATTGATTTTGACTCAGGGAAAGTCATTTGACTCAAGCCAGGCCATTAACAGTTTCCCTTGGATCTTTTTGCAGAGCTACCAGGGAAGATGCACTCTTCCTGCGGGTAGGTTATGAGTCTTGGAGTCTTGGTATATCATGCACAGTGTGTAGTAGTCTGCCGAGAGCTGGATGGCGTGAGAGAGACAGAACCTTGTTTATATTGTCTGATCCTCAATCCCCATATCTGAAGCTTATTTTACTTCTGCACTTTTTACTTTTCACCCACTTAAGGAGTGTGACCTGGGTTTCCATAACTTTGAATGGAAAGAGACCTAATACAAGTGGTTAAGAATATTGTGGAGGCCAGGCATGGTGGCTCACGCCTGTAATCCCAGCACTTTGGGAGGCCGAGACGGGTGGATCATGAGGTCAGGAGATCGACCATCCTGGCTAACACGGTGAAACCCCGTCTCTACTAAAAATACAAAAAAATAGCCAGGTGTGGTGGTGGGTGCTTGTAGTCCCAGCTACTCGGGAGGCTGAGGCAGGAGAATGACATGAACCCAGGAGGTGGAGCTTGCAGTGAGCCAAGATGGCACCACTGCACTCCAGCCTGGGCAACAGAGCAAGACTCTGTCTCAAAAAAAAAAAAAAAAAAAAAGAATATTGTGGACATAGTGCAGTTTTTGTTACCTTAAAAAATAATTTTCTATGTGAGACCATGTTAAAGAAAGAAATTTATTTTGCAGGTTAAAATTTAAAGTGTATATTTTGTTGCCATTTTGGAAGTGCAACATAACATATTGGTTTAACAACTATACAGCCTGTGTCTCTAATCCTTCCTATTTTAAAACTTCTTGCAGTAGGGTAAGAGTACCTGTGGGTTTATGTTGGCTTAATGATGGTTGTTGTTAATGTTTTCCACTGGAGGCAAGGTACTTCCATAGAACATTAAAGTGTGAAGGACCTTGGAAATTGTCTTGTGAAGTCTATCTTCTCATTTAACAAATGAGCAAACTTAAGACCTAAAAAAATTTAAGTGACATGAACTGGTTTCTCTACTATTCCTTCAAAAATGAAGTTATAAAGACTAGAAAATGTTCTGGGTGAAGCTTTGATATGAAGTAAGAGAGAGAGACAGAGAGAAAAGAAGAAAGCTGGGTAACATCAGAACCATCAAAGTGTCAGTTCTTATCAAGTCTTGCTAAATTGCTACAATTCTACACCTTTTAACAAATATCCTAGCCTATAGTCTCACCCAGACCACACTGTACATTGCTACGAGACTTACCTTCTAAAAACATTGATCTAACCGTATTACCCTCTGATCCAATTTTTTTTTTTTTTTAGATGAAATTTTGCCCTTGTTTCCCCGGGTGGGTTGCAATGGCCAGATCTTGGCTTACGGCAACCTCTGCCTCCTGGGTTCAAGC